TTATTGGCCCCATTGACAAACTTTACAACACCCGACCCGGTCCCTTTAATTTCAGCCTTTTGACCATTTGCTAGCCGTACATTTCCGTTCGTGTTTCGATGAAATTCCTTAAAGAAATCCTTGTTATTAACCATATGACTTGTCGCCCCCGAGTCGATTACCCAAACGTCCTTTTGTTGTCTTATTTGCAGGCCAAAACAAACACTCACTTCATGACATAAATCTGTCTCCACATTTGTTTGTGTCATAAAACAGGTCTCATCCACTTGATTTTCAGAATAACCATCTGTAACTGCATTTGCCCTTTCTTTATTGCACTTTCAAGCTTGATATTTTCGACAAAACTTTTTGTAATGACCAGGTTCTTTACAAAAATAGCACTGCTTTTTCTTTACCAAGTTCGCCGAATTTCCTGAATGCCCGGGTTGCCCTTTATGATGATGAGAAGCCGACGCCCTCATTGCCGTGTCACTTTCTTCATCCCTTGTTTTTGATACACCTTTACGTCGACCATATTCGTCTAATAATTTTGCTTTCACTAGTTCCATTGTTAACTCCTTCTCATCCCTGCTTTCCAGTGCAGTAATTAGCGTGCCATAAGAATCCGGCAGACTACTTAATAGCATAGCAACAATTAACTGATTATTTAGCACCTCCCCCATGGCCGATAATTTATCCACCAACTCCATCATTAGGTTTATATGGAGTTCCATATTACCGCCTTCTTCTAGAGTTAATCTGCATATCCGCTTTAACAAGAAAACTTTGGTGGATAGCGATCCCTTCTGGTGGATGTCCCTTAATGAATTCCAAGCGTCGAGAGCATTTTTTGCTTGTCTAATGTGGATTAACTGGCTATCTTCGACAAGGAGTCCGATTGCTGCTCTAGCTTGATCATCCTTTCTAATCCAGGCTTCGTCTGGAACACCTGGCCTTGGCTCAGCGATCACGTCCCATATCCCCTCACTGATCAGCAAAAATTCGACCTTATACTTCCAAATTTGATAATTGGAACTGTTCAATTTCGCGATACCGTACAAAAAACGCGAACCGCCCGACATCTTCGAACCTTGATTGTTCTCTCACTTTTGCTGCAGCACACTATTTGTAAAAACTATATTCCTGTATTGTCTTTAAACTCCGAACTCACTCACATAGATTAACTGGGCCCATAACCTGTTGGATTTTATTTAATGACTTCAATAGGTGTTTGCGTAATTATGTGAATGGTCAATAAAAAGCACAATTGTATTTAAGAACGAGATAACTAAGTAGGTACACTTTATTGATAAGTAGGTAACAAATAACTTTTAGAGATAAATACAAATAACATCTGTGACAACTATATTTCGCTGAGGGTGGTTTCGGACTGACTCTGCCTCGTAGTATATTTTAAAGTCAAGGGTACGAATGCCGTAAATGTTTCACTCGCTTGCCATGTGGTTTATTTCCTATTTTATAAACGTTGACTATTGTTGTTGCACAATATTCCAACAGTCAGGATACCTACGTACTAGTAAACGTAAATAACGAAAAGGAAAGAGGAACCTTTCACGCCTCTCATTTAAAAACGTATAATTCGTCAGTTTGAGCTCAGATATCTATCACTAAACTTAGAGGAGGGCAGATGTAGCATAACAAAAGCTATTGTTTTAAATTTAATATCTGTGCGCTTTGCCGCTATTGTTTTTATATGTTTTTTTTGTCGTTTCCACCGTATTGAATTCGGATTAAAAACGTATAACCTTCGAGGCGTATAGTTCAGTGCTGGCAGAATTTTTGGTTTTAAGTAATTAATAAGTGTTTCAAATACCTATTTTACAGTGCCTGTTTTGTCTAGGTGAGTTATCATAAACATGTTTGCCATATTTAACTTTTATTACTTTTTGTCTAGAACTGTACTTAAACGTTGTTTTCGACATCATTAAAATATTTGTCCACCTCGAACTGGGATTTTATTTACGGAAAAATACCATGAGAAAATCGTTTCGCAACAAGTGTTGATTACCTATTTTAAATACCAAATTTAATCAAATATTCTTATACGAAAAGATAAATCTTAAAATTGAATTTTGAAGGGCTTTATGTCTTTTCTGAGGAAGTTTTGAAGAAAATAAAACAATGCATGTCGAGTTATTTTTCAGTGAAATCCTGGGCGGAAAAAGTGAAACAACCCCTGTATGTACGCCAATGGACAATTTTGACAAAAGTTACTTGGGTCAAGTAACGAGTATCTACTTCATAAGTACTTGTATCAAAGTTGCTGAAAAACGCTTTAGCGATCTTAGATTTAGAGTTATGACAAAAAAAGATATTTAAAACTGAACTTTGCAGGACTGTATGTTTTTTAAACTCAATTATCTCGTAAACAAAGCCTTAAATCAAAATTTGACAAGAGTGGCTTTTTTTCTCAAAATTGAACAAGGAATTAGAAAAATAGGTCAATTTAAACCAATATCCAGTGGCGTAAAAAATGGGGTGGAAAAAGTGAAACAACCCCCCTGTATCTACGTCACTGGACAATTTTGACAAAAGTTACTTACGACAGGTAACGAGTACCTATTTCATAAGTACTTGTACCAAATTTGGTCAAAAACGCTTTTATTTCCTGAGAGTTATGATAAAAAAAAGATTTTTAAAACTCAACTTTGAAGGGCTGTATCTCCCTTAGGAGTGGTTTTGGAGAAAAAAATTACCATGCATGTCGACTTATTTTTCGATGGACTATCGAATGGTGAATTATTGCTACTATAACCTGGACCACCCTGTATATAAAATATTTAAAATTTAATTAAATGACTAAATATTTATAGTAAAAAATGTCGCCTTCATATTTTGTATTTTAAATGTAAATTAATAATTGAAGGGGCAAGTGGATGAAGGGGTTAAGTAAAATTTTGAATAATGAAGGGCAAAAGATGTAAAGGTAATTCTTAATAAGATTCTGTATTTTTTTTCGCGCAGTGACAAATATCAACAATTGTAATTCGAGCGAAGCTCTAAATTAGTAAAATAGTTAGTGGTGGTGGTTGAAGGTTTTATTTCAGAAATTAAAAAAAAGGTTTCTTATTGGTTTTATAGAAAAATAACTACAATGTGAATGTTTATACGTAGCTAATTAAAATAGATTGACGAATGTGATGTACATGCGCGTGGCGGACGAAATTTGGTTTCAATAGTAGCATACCATGTTTCCTTGTATCCTGCTAGATATATCAAAATAGTAAGTAATTTTTTCATCAGTACCCTTGTAGTAAATATCGTCACTTTCCCAGATAGCACCATTCGAATGGACGATCGTCCAATGGACGTTTGTTTAAGATCCATTTTAAGTACATTGGTCCACGGACTAAAAATGGATGTACTATGTACGTCCATATATTTACATCCTTTGTACGATTTTAATGGACGTCCATATAGTGTCCATTTTACGTCCATAATTATTATTACAGAAATGCAAGTTAAAACGTATTGTTGGCTGCATAACAACAGTTATGATCAATCTCACTGACATTCAAGCAAGCGCGTGCTATAAAGGACTTAAGCTATCAATGAAATTTTAAACACTTGTAGACTACAAGTTTGTTATCTATGCTACAAGTTGTAGTATTGCAAATGTAATGTTCCTGAGTCGAATACAAGGATTTCCTGCAATGTTCAACATTTGTAACTTTTAACAACTTTTAGAATATTTATATTCCTAGTGGGATTGTTACTGAGCCAGACAAAAGGCATTTCATAAACACTTCAAATCCAAACGAACATTAAATTAAGAAAACATAAACACAGAATATAAACACACAAACCGAATTCTAATAGAATTGGTAATTACATTAGTATTAGTGAAAGTCAAAAATACCTCCCACCGGTAACTGTCAAATCGCATCAATTGCACACCAACTGTTTATTACAAAGATAGGATTGCAACGCGAAAGAAAACAGCCGAGACAAGTGCAGGAACAACCCGACACGGGCAGAGACAATAACGGTCAAGACGTTGACCACGACCAGTAGTAAACTAGGCCCCTGCAGCGAACTAGCAACTTCCCAACTCCAAACAGTAGGTAATCCCAAATGTTTGGAGTAATACTAACTTTCTGGTGTAGGGGGATCCCGCGTCGTATTTAGATTTGAGTCGGCGTAATTGTCCCCCAAACACCAAACTGTCTATCCCGTCCTACCTCCTTCATGACCCCCCTGGGCGTATAGCATCGGCTCGGCGAACCCGGGAATGGCTACTAAAACTATTGGCATTTCGCTCTCGAGTCCTAATTAGGGGACAGTACGGGACGCAATGGACATTCGCAACCAGCAAACACGGGTGAAGCCGCGCCGTTGCTGGTGGCGAAAGAAAATCGGCGCAAGGTAACAGAGGCCTATGCGGGGCCCGGGAGCGATGAGGCAAGGGGGCCGGTTATACGTCTCTTATACTCATACTCATACTCAGTACCCTTATAGTAAAAATCCAAAAGAAGAAATTCTAAAGAAGTCTTTGTATGAGTTAAGACAGCAGGTTTCTTTAAAATTATTAACTGTTAAGTTCTTTTTTTAGAAGTCTTGATTAGTTCGATAGGTGGCGCATTCAAAGTCTTAAGAACTTCTTAAAAACTTTCTGATGTTGTATATGCCTTCCAAATCATAAAATAGGGCTTATGCCGACTTAATCAAGACTTTATATTGCCTTCTGGGTAGATATATTATACTAATTATAATATTATGTATTATTATGTATTATTTAATGTAATTATTAGTAATAATTTATTACTATTTACATAATTATTATTATATTTATCAGTTACTATACAGTAAAGATAGTCATCAAATATGTGTCTTGGCAAAAAGATGAATGGAAATGTAATGCACTTTTAGTGGGTTAATGTAAACTATGTTATAATTATAACATAGTTTACGATATATGTATAAGATTATACCTATAAGGGCATTTCTAGGCTTAAGGGGAATTTTTAATTTCACCACCTTTAGAATATAAATTGTTGTAGCCATGAAAAAGTACAAACCAACAGATGCTACCACCAACCCATCCTTAATCTTAGCCGCCGCCAATTTACCACAATACAAACCAATTATCGAAAAAGCCGTGCGATATGGCAACAAGGTTGGAAACACGATGGAAGAAAAAGTCGAGAATGCGATGGACATACTGTGCGTTTCCTTTGGTTTGGAGATTTTGAAAATTGTTCCTGGTCGCGTGTCGACCGAAGTAGATGCCAGGTAAACTCGTTAAGTTAAATTATTGATATATAGGTATTTAAAAGTATATTTAAATTTATTTTAGACTATCGTTCGATAAAGACGCCAGTGTGGCTAAAGCTATTAAACTAATACAACTTTATGCTGAAGAAGGCATTTCCAAAGATCGTATCCTCATCAAATTGGCATCTACGTGGGAAGGCATTCAAGCTGCTAGGTAATTTTTATAAATAATAAAATAAAAAAGGAATACTTTTTAAAAAAAAAACAGTATGAAGAAAACAAAATGTTTATACAAAAAAATATATGTACAGCTTCTCTGCTACTCGTTTTAAATGAATAGTACAAAGACCAGGCGGAGAAAGCACTTATTATCGCCGAGCATACATTTCACTTCCTAAGCAGTAGATTGTGTGTGAGGCAATTAATAAGCTTTCCGCGTCATTAACCGTGACTGCGATTGAACCTGTGTTATGTTCGGCTTCATTGATCTCGTTAATCTGCATGGCGTTTTGGTGGTTGTAAGAGCTGGTTTCCATGCAGTTGGTAGTCTCTGTGTATCGTCTCTTGTGTTGAGAATTTTTGGACGTTTTTCTATTTCAATGGCTTCACGGATGGTACGTTTGGTTCGATACTAGCCAAGACCCTTGTTTTTTCAAAGTCAATTTCATGGGAAGTTTTTCGGACGTGTTCAGCTAAGGAAGATGTTTTTTCTTCTTTTAAGACTGCGTTACGATATTCTTCGCATCGAACGTTAATACGTCTATTGGTCTGTCCCACGTAGCTCCCGTTACAATTCTTACTATTAATTTCGTAAACCCCCTGTGCTTCCAACTCTATTTTTGGTTTGGCGTTTGGCGTATTTGACCGATCTTTCTTGGGGCGGTAAATGTGGTCTCAAATCAGACTCTCAATGTTATGTTTTTTGAGAACTTTGCCTATTCTTTCGGTTGTCCCTTGGACGTAGGGAAGAAAGGCCTTCGAAGTTGGTTTGTTGTTCTCGTCCTCTGTGGTATTTAACCGGCGTCGCCGGCCGGTTTTTATTAATATATTAACATAGGACCGCATGCCGGTCAGCATCCAAAAAAGTCCGTTTTTCTTAAAATCCCAACAGATACCTACAGTATCTTTTTTTAAAAACCGGCTCGAAACAACCAATTAACCCAAGACTCTGGCACTGTAAATTTACTTTTCGATGGGAGAAGCTATAATTCAGTTATTTTGTTAAGAAACCAATTTTAAAAAGTAATTATAATTTAATTGAGGGCGTCAATGTTTAAAACAAAGATTCTTTTAAGCTATATACAAAAGTGCTCTTTTAGTTCCACCCTTACTTTCTAAAAAGTCCCAGAAGCCAACTGAATCGCTTGAGCGGGTTAGGGGTAGGAACGGACCGCGGGCTTAAAGTCCCCTCTGAAGGACAAACACAAATAAACAGCCATACCCCTGGTGGGATTTGAACCCAAGAACCTCTCGGCTTGTAATCATGGCTGCAGCAGCACTATAGTGGTTATAACCACTAGTCCACCGTCGGCGGTAAAGCTATAAATATTTTTAAACCCAAGCGTAGTTATTTATGGCAAGAAAAGTTACTTTTCTATTAAAAGTAATCCTGCGTAATCAAAACAAAAGAGACATATAAAATGGTAGGTTTAATAGCTAAAATATGTAATTTATTTAAAAAAAAATCTTCTAAATATAATTTTATTTTGGCAAAACTGGATTTTGCTCCCAAACATTTTTTGTATACGATCTTTTCCTAAAATCAGGCGAAAGGCCGATTTTCTGTTTCCAAAAAGATGGCAATCCTATTCAACCCCAATTGCTCTGAAACATTTTAAGCCAAATGGCAACTTTTAGTGGGTTCCCCAGATTTTTTTTAAATATTGATTATATTATATCAAAACAAGAATCTTAAATTTTGTAATGTTTGTCAATTCATACACCAAGTATAACATTTGGTGTGCCTCAGGGGTAACATATTGGACAAATATTTGTGAAAGAGAACCGCGCAAAGAGAAGCGCGCTTGAAGAAAGTTTATTTGATGAAAAATTAACATTAAACAAAAAAATATTATTTAAAATAGTGTTACCAAGATAGAAAGCTGTCCCTTGCTTATTTCTCATTTTAAACATGTTTACAGAGAATTGGAACAAAAACACGGCATCCACTGCAACCTTACATTACTCTTTAACTTTGCCCAAGCTGTTGCTTGTGCCGAAGCCGGAGTTACTCTTATTTCGCCATTTGTTGGTCGCATTTTGGATTGGTATGTTGCCAATACCGACAAAAAAAGTTACAGTGGAGAAGAGGACCCCGGTGTACTCTCTGTTACCAGTATCTACAATTACTACAAAAAATTCGGTTACAAGACTGTTGTAATGGGGGCATCATTCCGTAATGTTGGTAAGTGCAGACTATCTAAATTTAAAAATTAATTTTAACAATTGCTATACAAGAATTTCTCTATGAATAAAATTTGTGAAAATCACGACGTGATGTTCGTTTGAATATCACGAATGTTGTCCGGGATGTTAGAAGAAAAAATATTTTTGATGTTGTACGATATCAATATTTGTTTCACGCTTCACACAGCCCATGCTCGAATTTGAAAAGCCTATTTTGCAGACTTATAAAATAAAATAAACTGCTTTATTATTTTTTTCTTTATTTAAAGCAAAAAAGACTTAACTGAAGAATACTATTTATATAAATTTTGAGAACTTATCATATATTAAATAACATTTTTATTACTTTTTTTAGAGGAAATCAAGGCTTTAGCTGGGTGCGATCTTCTTACCATAAGCCCTGGATTATTGGGCCAATTGGAAGCCAGTAACGATGCCGTACCAATTAAACTTAACAAAGAAGTTGCCAAAAAACAAGATTTGACCAAATTGGAACTTACAGAAGCTAAATTCAGATGGTTGTTAAATGAAGATCAAATGGCCACTGATAAATTGTCTGAGGGCATTCGTAAATTTGCTGCTGATTGCATTAAACTTGAAAATTCATTGAAAACTTTAATCAAAACCGCAAAGAAATAAATATCCAAGTGTTATTTTGTGTTTTATACATATATTTTTTTAAATATAGCATGTTAATATATCAATTGTTTTCATATACATATAAGTTTTCATTACCGCTTCCGTCAACAAAATCTTAATAGCAAGGAAGGCTGAGAACATATCGTTTTAAAGGTATTTTAATTCTTAATAACATTCTGTAATTTTTGAACTACCCGGTCAACATTTAACGTAACACAGTATTGCCGTAATGTAACGTAGGAGTTACTAAAATGCAACGAAACAGTTACCTAAAATAATGGTAACATTGTTACCGTTCCAAGTTAAAATTAATTAAGCAATGTAACATTGTAAAACTATTGCAATATAACAAAATTACCAATAAGCAATATAACAGTAACCTAACATTGTGAAACTATTGCAATGTAACAAAAATACCAATAAGCAATATAACAGCAACGTAACATGTTGTCTCTATTGGCTAAATCCAATAGAAATGCACCTGAAATGAATTGGTAATTTATAGCGCCAAACCAATTTGAACCAATTTATTTTTTTAAATTTGGATTAAAAATACCAGTTGATTTTTCAATCAAAAATAATTAAGATCCCAGAAGAATAACCGGGTAAAAACGAGAATTCATTTTTCACAGAAGAGACAAAAAAATTATAATAATAATAATAAACTATGATAATAAGAATAACAATTGTTATAGGTTTAAGTCACATATTCAGCAGTACCCAGATAGCATCTGTGATTTTGTTTTCCCTCTGTGATTTCACACTGAAGTCAGTATAAGGTCAGATGTAATTTTCAGTCATTCAAAATCATGTATGATTTAATACTGAAGTCGGTATAAGATCACGCATGATTTTCAATATAAATTCTAAGTTCCAAATCATGCCTAATTTCATACTGGGGTGAGTATGAGATCAGGCATGATTTTCAGTTAAGGGTACCTATTCCATAAGTTCCAAGCTTACAAGCTAATTTTATTTAAGCTTATAAGCTATAGCTTATATATAGTTCTCGTTTAGATGTAATGTAATGTAATCTATAGGGTATAGTTGTTTATTTGTGCTTGTCCCATTGTGTATCGTCGAGGGGACTTTAGGCCAGCGGTCCGTTAATACCCCTTACCCGCACAAGCTATAGCTTGTGCGGGTAAGGGGTAGGAACGGACTTCCGGCTTAAAGTCCCCTACGAAGGACTATACACAATGGGACAAATACAAATAAACAACCATGCATACCCATAACCATGGTTATGGGTATGCATACCCACGTGAGTTTCGATCGGGCGCGAATATTAGTTCAAAATCATGTTTGTTCTCATGCTGGGGTCTGTATGAGATCACGTATGATTTTCAATATGATTCTAAGTTCCAAAGCACGCCTGATTTCATACTGAGGTCAATATGAGATCACATATGATTTTCAGTATAATTCTAAGTTTCAAAGCATGCCTGATTTCATACTGGAGTCTGTATGATATCACATATGATTTTCGGGGGTAATTACACAAGTGCTTAAAAATTATCGATAATTTTGCTTGAAAGCATATTGCCTAAAAAATGCATGATCATGCATTTTCATATTTTGGAAAGAGCCCGACACCGAAGGTGGAGGGCTCTTTCCTTAAAATATGAAAATGACCGAATGCATTTTTTTTAAGGAAATATGCTTGAATGCAAAATTATCTGATTATTTTTATGCACGAGTGTAATTTGTTTAGATAATTACACGAATAAACTAATTAAATCAAAGAATAACAGTTATATTATTATTAATATTTTAAGACTATTTTTCACATTTACATTAATTGATTCAAATGATTCTTTACCAAAACGTGACATTTTAAATAACTGTCACATTAAAATAAAAACTGACGTTATTTTTATTAATTGCCATGGATACGTAGATACAATGGAATTATCGATTCCTAGTAGACAATTATCGCTGTAATCAAGCGATAATTGTCTTGTAGGCATATATAAGAGGGTAATTATCAGTATAATTAATTCTAAGTTTCAAAGCACGCCTGATTTCATACTGGAGTCTGTATGAGATCACATATGATTTTCAGTATAATTTTAAGTTCTAACTCAACCATAGAGGAATGGCGCCAGGTAAATTGCGCCAGATTTAAGAAATCTTTTTTTTTGTAAATACCTAAATTTTTAATCAAAAAATGTTGGTATTTTATTTTAATTTTTTTATAGCAATTTAAGATTTCCTCCTTCACTGGAATTTTTTTTCTGACAACAGTATGATTTCATTCTGACAACAGTATGATTTCAAAGCCAACGTCAGCGGGACCAAAAATCTCGACTGATTTTTTCTTTAAAGTTTTCTTTCTACCGGTTTCTACCGGTCTCTTTACAAAATCACATCTGATTTCATTCTGACATCAGTATGATTTCAAAGCCAACGTCAGCAGTAACAAAAATCACATCTGATTTCAGTCTGACTTCATATTGCTGACATTCGCGTATGCGCTACTGACGTCAGATTCTCGACAGACGTGACGAACGATTTTCACGTCTGATTTTATTCTGACGTCAATATTAAATCATAAATGCTAGCTGGGTAATACTATAGGTACCTTCTATACACTAATTTTTAGTTCAAAGAAAAAAAATTACATATTGATACCAACCAATACTTCAATTGGTTTCTATAAGGCATTAATCATTTACAACAGGTTGTTTGGGGTCAGTCTGCGGAGTGTTATTCGGTCTTCAACGCCAGGTAGTAAGGATCATCGCCTCTCTTGGTTACAGGGACGACTGTAGAGCTATGTTTAGTAATCTTGGAATTTTAACAGTACCCTCCTTATAAGAATATATATTCTTCAGAATTTACTTTATGTTAAAAATAATTTGAATTTGTACCATAGCCATGATAGTTTTCATAAACACAATAAAAGGAATAAAAATCAGCTTGTAAATCAATTTTCCAGGGTCAATAAATGCCAAAGTGGAATCAAATTTTTCAACAAACTTCCAATCAACATAAAAAATATGGCTTATTATAAGCCGCTTGTAAGGAATTTAAACTATAGGTATATAAAATCTTTTTTTGTGAGAAACGTGTTTTATTCTGTAAACGAGTATCTTGAGTACAAGTTTTAATGTTTTTATTATCGCCGTGACTAGAAGTACACCGGGAGTACGGGCATTAAAAGTACATCAGGTTTGTGCGCATGCGTGTTTCCATAAAATTTCGGATTTATTTGTTGAGATTAAATTGGTACACTAAGGCCCAGTTGTATAACAGTTGGTAAACAGCTGGTTAACTCTTGATATTAATTATGTCATTATTAAGCTAACTTTCAAGTTATATAAACATTGATTAAAATTTAATTAAGTGATTGAAATACAATTAACAACAAAATTAATGAAATGTCAGTATGAATTACCCAAACCAACCCAAACTCAACAACCCAACCCAACCGACCCCGCCCCATTGGGCCCCCCGCCCCATTGAACGCGAAATTGAGCGACCATTTAATATTATACAATTGACAAATATGCTAAATAAGGATTTTTTTCCACCCGGTGTACGTTTAATGGCGGTACTCCCGGTGTACTTCTAGTCACTTTGTTGTATTATATACTTACCTATATTATGTAATTTTTTATTTTTAATGTATTTGTGCATGCTTATAATTTATTTATTCATTTGTCTCTCTTTCCTATTTTGCGTTGTAAACAATTTGTATTGTATTAGCACTAATAATAATAATAATAATAATAATAATAATTATTATTATTCCCAGTGGGATTTTAATGATTTCACGGACAGTATACTGTACTGTACACTATAGTGTTTTTTATGAAGTCCAAATTATATTTATTTCAGAAACTACCTGTTGGGTGGGAGCTTTAGTTCTTGGACGGTATGCCTATAGGCACAAGCATAATAGGGTAGAAGCACCGGTTGTGGCCACTTCAAGAGTTTGGTATCATTGACTAAAGCTAGATTAATAATTTTAGGGCAATCTTTCATTTCGGCCACAAACTGTAAATGTTACTGGACTTGAAAGACAGACATAATAATATAGTATATGAGTCTAAAAGAGACAGATTTAATAAAATACTAGTTAGATGCAATTTCGCCAGTTGTGGCCACCTTTTCACCTGTTGTGGCCAGGAAAAGAACCTGTTGTGGCCACTGAGTGTTTAAAGATGAAACTAGGTATAAAATGACAATAAAATAGTTTATTGAAGATTTATCTCACAAAAAATGCAAAATTTAGTATTATAATATTTCATATGTATTTCGAAAACAGTAAAAATAACCAAAATACAAAAATTAATATAAATACCCTGCTGAAAATGACGGATGATTGCGGATATAAATTCTTCGTCAAAACCGGATAAAAGCAGATGATTGCGGGTATAAATTCTTCGTCGAAGCCGGATAAAGGCAGATAAAAGCGGGTAAAAATATCATCTGATAACATCTGCTTTTGTCCGCATTGCTATATCCGCGAACACCCGGTTGGTTGTGTTTTATGTCCGGTTAGTGCACCCCCGCAATCATCTGCAATCATCTGTTTTTAACCGTCTTCACTGTGTTTCGTTTATATCTGAATTTGTCATCTGAATCATCTGAATCATCTGAATCATCTGAATCATCTGAATCATCTGCTTACGTCTGTTTTTATCCGCGATTACCTGCATTTTTTTTCGTCTCTTTTTGTCGGGTTTTATCTGCAAACGTCTGGTTTTATCCGCGAGCATATGCTTTTACCCGCGAACATCTGCAATCATCCGCGAACATCTGCTTTCATCCGCGAATATCTGATTTTATCCGCCAACATCTGCTTTCATCCGCGAACATCTGCAGTCACCCGCAAACAACTGCTTTTATCCGCGAACATCTGCAATCACCCGCGAACATCTGCTTTCATCCGCAAACGTCTGGTTTTATCCGCAAACATCTGCTTTCATACGGTTTCACCCACAAACATGCTTTTATCTGCGAACGCCTGATTTCATCCGGTTAGTGCACCCCCGCAAACATCTGCTTTTATCCGCGAACATCTGCAATCACCCGCGAACATCTGCTTTCATCCGCG